AGCGTGGTGTACCTAATAAAGTGGCCGGTGAGTGTATATCCGATTTAAAACCACATACTGAAACGGCATGGGTCGGATTTGAAAAAATCGGATTTGTCTCGTTCAGACTGTCATAAAAAATCGGATTTGTCTCGTTCAGACTGTCATAAAAAATCGGATATGAGTCAGATGGGTCAAAAAAAATCGGATTTGGGTCGGATTTGCCTGCAGTGTGAACGTAGCCTCTGTAAGAAAACCCAAAGTTTGAATAGTTTTTAATTAGTATCAATATTCACATAATGTAAACCATGTTCATTGATTTTGCAATATACATCAGAAACATTTTGGAGCAGAATCCTTCCTTTAGTCATGCTTTTCATGGTAATTTAATAACTTTTTAAAATGTATTTCCAATCAAACCGGGTTTATCTTATTATTTAAAAACAATTGTACATTAGGCCTTCTTACCTTCAAATTGACCCATTTGTAACTGAGCAGGCAAAAATAATAAACTGGGACTTTTAAGCCTTCCAAACTCAGAGTGGCTTAAATGTAGTGCGTGAAGTCCAAAAGCAGGACTGCTGCACAGATTTGCTGTCGTCAGCAGTGGATCACCTGGTAAACAAAAATCAGAGCTTTATACACAATAAAAATAAAAATTCATCAGTCAACACTGGACTAGACAAACAACATTTAAACAGTTATCTGACCACAGGAGGGTTCAAAAGTGATCACAAAAACCTTGAACTAAAATTTGGATTTTATGAGCAGACCATAAAAAGATTAGGATGAAATTTAATCTGATTTGAAGTGACATGTTTTTTAAAGTTATCTTCTGTGCCCAAGAATAGTACATAGAAAAAGATAACAAGGCCTGCTTACAGACAACACTAAAAAACTCCTGCATCTGTCCATCAGGAGTTTGCCCAGTCTGTTCAGAATGAATCCTATGGGATAAATATTGTGCCAGCAGGAATTGAATTTGATTTTCTGAATTTGAAATTGAATGCAGTGATTTGAAAATGAATTTTACTAAATTAAAACTGAATTTAATGATTTCAAACTGAATTTAAAGTTTTGAATTTGAATTATTTTGCTTTGAAACAGTATTTTGGTTTCTTAAAAAATTCAGTTTGTCTACTTTCACTTTCAGTTCCATAATTCAATTTCAGTTCTAAAATTCAGATTTTTGTGCCACACACCCACGTCCTTGAGAAAGCCAGCCAGAGTAATCAAACACAGATGGACCGATCCCAGATGCGCAGCAGGTTCTGCTATGAGCTCCTTCCTGGTCCCAAGCACTGACAGACGGATCAGTCCTAACATAACATGRCTCTCAGCTGCAGATCACCTGCTGCTRACTGATCCATGATGTGATGTAAATGTAACATTATCTATAGGCAAAAWTAATCACTGCAATAAAATAACTGTCTGTTTTTTGTCACTTTTACGATGGATTCCATCAACTCTGTTGCATTATAGAAGGAAGCTGACGTGAAACGTAAATCTGACGATCTGTGTTTGATTACTCTGGCTGGCTTTCTCAAGGACACAGATGTGCGACACAAAAATCTGAATTTTAGAACTGAAATTGAATTATGGAACTGAAAGTGAAAGCAGACGAACTGAATTTTTAATAGACCAAAATACAGTTTCAAAGCAAATTAATTCAAATTCAAAACTTTAAATTCAGTTTCAAATCATTAAATTCRGTTTCAATTTAGTAAAATTCGTTTTCAAACCAATGCATTCAATTTCAAATTCAGAAATTCTAATTCAATTCCTGCTGGCACAAGATTTATCCCATATGTTAGCAGAGTGTTGTGTCAAAGGTTGACACAAACCAGTACCAACATGTCACTGGAGACTCTGTCAAGGGTGCATTTCCTAGGTTTTGGTTTATTCGTTTTAGATAAATATTTTTAGATAYTTTTGTACATATTCAAATATCAATACACCTCATAATCATTAAGATTTAAGTGGGATCTTATTCTTTACATTGCAGGTTGCTGTATCTTATTTAGAAAATTATATTATATTTCAACCTCTTGCTAAATCCTCTCAACAAAAACCAAGCATTGCTTTTTGTTACCAACATGGAGTTAGACTCTTTTAAATACAAGATGTGCCATGGCTGTAAATAAATTATTTTTACCATTTTAATTTTAACATAGAGGTGTGTTATAACAGATTCAGTTCTAGAGCCAACAAAGAAATGATTAAAACATATATTTTTTTGGTTTTCAGCTTCCCATTCTGTCACTTTATAAACATGTGGGCATGCAGATAAGAAATCTTTGAAAGAACTCAGTTTATTTATAATTGTTGCCATGTGATTGCAGAGGTACCATACGTGTGTGGTTTCAGTTTCAATATAATGTGTTTAGAATTTATCTGGCCATAAAAAAATGTGAATGTTTCATGTGAGGGTGTGCAAATTAACGTGTTAGTGTTTTTAACTTTGATAGGGGAAAAAAAAAATCCTCCAGCTTTTTGACGCATCTTATCACAAAATACAAACCGTGGTATGTAAATCAGCACATTATTTTGCGGTCAGGGGTAATCTGACAGCTTATGCATCACCGCTGCTCAGTACATAATGGCTTCGGCCGCAATTATTATTCAGAGAAAACAAGGAGATGCTGGTGGCTGCACGCACAGTGTGAGGCTGACAGGCATGTCAAATTACACAAGATAAACTGGAGCTGAAAGAAAATATACAAGAACATGCACAGATTCTTAAACTGTTGGCATTTATTAATTCTATTTTATTCCCATCAAACTTGTCTAACTTATTATGTGAAGAAATGGTGGTCCAATTCGGTGTGATTGAGGGTGTTTTAACAGAAATTAGTTTGATAGCTCTTCTACACTGCTCCACATATTTTTTCAAACTGACATATCATGATTGTAAAATGTGAACTGATTTTATTGCCTGAAAAACAATACTTCACAATAACAACAATCAATATCGAAACGTACTCCTCTGTTACTCAACGCAACTTGCAGCACAACATGGTCAAACTGTTTAATGTGTTAGAATAGTAAAAAAAAAATACCATATCGTACCACTGACGATGAAAGGGGAGCTGCTTTCAGAACTAAAAGCTGAACTGAACTCCTTGCCGGGGGTCGGAGGTGGAGCAAGGAAGGGGCTCGTGGAAGATGAGACTTTTTCGAAGGAAGGTGATGCCGGTTGCTTTCTAGACTCCATCTCTGTCAGGCAAGAAAAAAAAAAAAGAAAAAAAAAACATAAATTCACATTCAAGGCTTCCATCTTACACACACTCATGACACGTGTCAGAATAATCCAGTCTCAACAGCTGACGAATAATGAATAAATATGTACTCCTCAATCGGAGTCTTGGTGAGATGAGATAAAAAGTAATATTCTTGTGAAATAGTCATCAGAAAGAGGAAATACTTTAGTATTGTTTACGAACAAGGAGCCCACTTATTAAAAACAAAAGTTATAAATGTTAGTGTTAGCTTTAAACCGTCCTAAAAAGTACTGGAGTGCTATGTTGGATGGTCATACAGAAAGAAAACAAACCATATGTTTTCCAGACATTGTGCTCAAAAATATCAGGTGAAAAACTGGTTATTATAAAAAGCTTACATGAAGGTACTGACGCAGGCAGTATAAATACAGTTTACAGAGTAAATGATCAACAATCCTGACTTAAGAGGCTGAGAGGGAGACAACACAACAATACTGCTGACATCTGACAAACTGTGACAGTCCAGCAGTTGTCCTGTCACACTACATGTAATCCAAAGCGCAAACGTGTTAATAAACACATTCAGGGGACAACTAATCCTTGATTTTCCTGTGGCAGCCTTTGCCTTTCATGTGTCACTGTAATCACATTTTTGACCTTCTATGTGAGAACACGAGCATGCTGTGTACCAGCTGAGAACCTCATGTGCTCATACTGCCAAGAGAGCAATGTCTATAGAAATACTGTTTAGTCACTAATGTTATCCAGTAAAAATAAGGTAAAACTGACAATTAGACCATTTTTGTAACTCTGTTATGCCACAACATATAATTCTCTTCACAATCAGTGCTTCCAACATGCAAAACTTCCCACTAATAATACAGGTCCTTCTCAAAAAAATAGCATATTGTGATAAAGTTCATTATTTTCTGTAATGTACTGATAAACATTAAACTTTCATATATTTTAGATTCATTGCACACCAACTGAAGTAGTTCAAGCCTTTGATGATTTTGGCAAAAAAAGTAATCATCAGTTATCAGTACATTACAGAAAATAATGAACTTTATCACAATATGCTATTTTTTTTAGAAGGACCTGTATATAGTAAGAATCTGGGGAAGAGATTTATAAAAAACTGAAAAAGAGTTACATATTTTACACATAAGTCTATCATTTATGAAATCCCCAAGCTAAAGCAAATATTGCTGGTAAAAAAAACATTAATACTAAAGTGAGTAACACTGTTTACACTGTTACACAATGTGTAGCTGAAAAAAAAAAGACAACCAGGCACATATATATTCGTTTGTTACCATCTGAACATGCAAATGTCCTGCTACCTACACTTTTACATAATTAACATTAAATTGAGTTATTTAACTCTAAAAATTATGCCTGAAAATAGCACATTTTTAATCCTAATAATTTGTATAAGATACCCAAAATATCATAATAGCGTGACAAACTGGCTAGTCATTGTTCAATCTACATTTTTATGACAAATTTATTTCAAGAAAAAAAACATAAAATCCATTTTAGTTGTTAACAGACATCAATTGAGACAGCACTTGAAAACTGCCTCAGAAACAGCAGCTGGATCTTTTATTACTTCATTGGAAGGAAAGATGTAAATTTGTCCATTTAAATGGAGAGAAATTAAAATATCAAATGTTTTAGATTCTACAGGAACAAAAAATAACTCTGATAAATGTTTACTATTTGTCAAGCAAATAACTGAGAGGAGAGTATTTGGAAAATTATACTCAACAATTACATCACAGCAGCAGCATGTGCTTCTAAAATGTTAAGTGACACAGGATCAATCAAAAACCTGCTAGCTCTCTGAATGGGAGGTGCTGTAAGAGCTGATGATACTCTCAAGACAGCGAGGATAAAAAGTCCAAGGTTCTGTCAGTCTTTAGGGCCAAACAACACAATGCCAGTAACCTCATCCTTTAAAGGATTGCGCAAACAGGATTTATGTGCTATAAGACAAAACGTCGATCGTAGCGGACATTTTAGCCCACATGTCCACGATGAAATAAAGGCACCCAGGATCAAGGTAAACATCAGTATTTCCATCCTCATCCCCTCTCCCCATCTAACTGAAGAGCAGCACATAAATCACAGGAGAACCGTAATGGGAAGTGGGACCACAGTGTGCCAAATGAAGCAATAAAACAGATCTGGAGTGTCCCTTTCAACTCACTGGTGACACTGTCCATATGTCCAGTTTCACTGAAGCAGATGATGCTGCTTAGATACAAACATCTGTGCACTCACTGACTGTCTTAAATAAAAGTCATAAGATGTGAGAATTTAAACCTTAGGATGTGACCCCACGTCCTAACAACCGGATGATTTAATAATAGTAAAAGAGGAAATGTTTTTTTTTGAAGCAGCTGATGACTTTAAATTAGTAAACTCACCCATATAAATGTCTTTGGCTAAAAGCAGCTAATGTTTACAACAAGATTGACAGATTTTTTTGCCACAATTTTTTCCAAATATAACCACAGATAAAACTTTTACTAGTCTTCATAAAATCTAAACACAACATGAACACATTTACACAGAACTTAACTAAGGCTTTCCAGTTATAAAATCAATTTGTTCACATTAAAATAAAAATAAATTAATGATCAATGTAATGTTCAGACCTCATTATATTAATCTGTAACTCCAGTGGAGAAAAAACACTTCACACAAACCCTCACACTGAAATTCAAATTGTTCCCGATTATTCAGTCCACACAAACACAATATTTATTTCCCTGCAGGAAGACGGTCAGTGCATAACAATAACATCAGATAAAAAAAATCAACCATCAAGCTGAAACACATACATATTAAACTGGTGTCTCAATGTCATTTGCTTTTTTTACAGTTTGCTCTCTTTCGTCCAGTATTTTTCCCTCATTCGTTGGCAGTAAAAAGCAATTAGCATGCATCAGTTTTATTTACTATGTTGGTGTTGTCTGAGAAAAAAATTAGCAACTGTCAAATTAACAATCAACTTCTTTTATATTCTGAACGTTTCCATTTTAGTAAATTATTTATTTGATGTTGATGAAATCTATTTTCTAAGCTAATGTTTTACAATATAGTTATTCACATGTTTTTATGCTTTTGATTTTTAACCCTGAGTTTTCTTTATGTATAATAAAGTCTATATAGAACTGTAAAACAAACAATATGTGTTTGCATCTGAAATACACATTTGTCATAAAACGTTACTCAGATCTAAAAAATTAAAGCCAGCACTTCATGATAAAATAGGCTTCATTCAAACTGGTCTCAGTGGATTTAAACATGTCAATCTTTATGTGCTAATATGGTAATTATTTATTAYGCATTGGCAATATTTGTTTCATGGTTCCATCTAAAACCTCACTTCAAAAATATCAAAATGGGGAAATTAGGAGAACGCAAGAAATTTGGTTTGAATTTGTTATTTCAAAACCTTATCACCTCAGCACACCTTAATGTGTTTCTCTTATATAGATTGCATTTTATCATTATCAAGTCATTTTATCCCTTTCTTCAAAAACCTTCTTACTCCAGTTTGCCTGTTTCTTCTTAGTAAATTAAAAAGAGAAGAATTGTTACACCTTGTGAGCGTGATACTTATTTAAAGGGGCAATATCATGTAAAATCAACTTTTTTTAAGTTTTATATCATGTTATAATATTATACTCTCATGAAAACATGCCCAAAGCCTTGCTCTGACTCGTTCATGCATGTTTGAGAAATCCTGCAGCGTTTTTAGGAAGCCATGCTGAGGAGCAAAACGACAGGTGGGGACCAGAAACACCCCTGGGATGTGTCTTTAAGCCGAGCTCCCACCCCCCCAACACACACACACCCCGCCCATGACTCCTTCAGGCTCTCGGGTGAAACTGAAAGTGAAACTTAACTGTCTGCTGAGCTCTCAACATTAGTTCTCACTCAATGAAGCTCTTTTCAGATTAAAAATACCTTTGAGGAAATGTATTTTCAGATGCCAAGTAAACTGCATCATGGCAGCCCCCCCGCACCAAAGGGGATGGGAAAGAAGCAGAAGGCGGTTCTTAAAGAGACAGAGGCCAATTTCAAGGTGTTAAGAATAGGAAGTGATGAGAAGATAAGTTTATTCTCTATTTAAACATAAAAACACAATTTTAATAACAGCTAAAGGTGATAGATACTTTATGATGGTATAGTATTTAAATATATGCCTGAGAAACACATAATACTGGCCCTTTAAAATGTTTAAGACTTACTGAAAATAAAAAAACAAAAGCAATCTTTAACTAAATCAACACTATTCATTTGTGGTTTTTTTTTACTTGATAAACTGGAGATTAAAATATGTGACAGTGTGCAGCTGATTTCAGAAGGTCACTCACAGAGCTGGGGATGGTGGTGGGGGGGAAGCGTTGATGCTCCCTTGCTGCCATTTTTCTTCCCTGACAAAGACTCCATCTGCCACCGAGCCATTTGCAGCTTCTGAGTTAGAATATCAATGATTTCCTACATTTCTACAAGTCAGCATTCACCTTGACGCCACCTCTAAACCCGTCTGAGTGCTGACAACACACATCGTCTCTGCAGGGCCTGGAGGGTGCCAGCAGAACTCTCATTCAGATAAGTGGCATTTATGTTCAGCGTAAAATGTAAGTACTGATAACATTTGTTCTATTCTTTTGATTATTCTTTATATAGTCAGTGTTTCGGACTTATTCTAAAAATGAAGGTAAATATACTTGTTAATTCAAACTTAATGTTTTAACCTCGTTTGTGAGAATTATTTATAAACAATCAGTATCTAACTTGCAGAAGACAATAATTGACCATTCTCAGTCTGGAGCATCACTGATAATTGATGATGGGGAAAACCACAGATCCAATCTAACACAGATGGTTAATAAAAGTAAAACATTTTTGACCATTCATTCATATATATACTTTGTGCAGGTAATCAGATGGTTATTGATGGCTGCTGTAATAAAACCCTGCAGAGCCTCCACCAGAGTCACATGAAAGGGAGAATGCTCAGCTTTAAGTGTTGATGGTTCTACGGTGGAGAAACTCATTTTACCTTTGCTGTTATAACTCAGCATGTCCACTGATGACCTGTGTCCTCACAGGGTCAACCAGAAGAAAACGACTTGGAGTCATTTCCTCGACATCAAGAGTGTGCACACATAATAAATTTTATGGCACTTTAGATGTTTTCACAAACGCACTCATGCCATGAAACGCTCCAGAGGAGCGGTGTGTGCAAAGGCAAATGTTTGCAGCCTTCACCTTCAATATCTTGCAGAGATTTTCCAGCTATCTTTGTCAAATGAGCAGATGGTCAAATCTGAGGACATACTTTTTATTCTAGGCTTCAAGATTTTGAAACAACGAAATCAGCGTAAAAGAAAATGACCTCAGATATTAATTGCTCCAAGATAATCAAAGTAAGAGAAGGAAAAAAACTTGCACTTTACTCTGATGATATAGGTACCAGTGAGCAGTGAAACATATACACTCGCTCCTTGTGTCTGGAGGCAACAATTACATTTTTAATAGCAGCTAAAAAAACATCTATAATGCCACAATAAATGAAGTAGCCCAAATTAAATTTTAAAACAAAACCAAACTGTGGCTCCAGCTCCACAAATTACCCCCGTTGGCTCTCAGTAATTTATCTTAAAACACCCCATGGCCAAAAATAAAGTTTTCTTCTCTCCCCTGAGAGATTTAAATATGGCCCTCTAAGCTTTAACACACTAATACAGATAAAGATGTGAATTAATTAGATACACACAAAATGAGAGCAAAGTGTAATGCAGCACAAACTCATTTCATGAAGGGCTTGTTTGAATCTTAACCTGATTGGAAATTTTTAATCCTAAGTACAACTTTAAAACGAGGTGTTTAGCATATGGCAGCATTTCTATTCATCTGTTACATTTTCTAATTTAACAAAGCAGATTGAGAGAGGGAAAAAAACTTCAAGAAGCATGAAAGCAGAAATGAACAATGACTTACTGTTGGAGATTCTCCTTCTGCTCAGTGACTCAGTGACATCATTCTTCACCTGAATAACAGAACACAAACCATCATTTATGGATGAATTTCACATATTTATTTATCCAGCATTCATCTTATTAAAATATTAAATATATTTTAGAAATATACAGATAAGTGAACTTCCACAGAAACAAAAAAATGTTCATGTCAGAATAACTAACAATTATTAGTTATACTGACAGGCATTTTAAAACAGCTATTTATTATTTGTAAGAGTGTCAAGCTACAATTCTCCAATGTCATTATTCTACAATATTCTAAAACTGGAGTGTAACACACGAGGTTGTAGATTACTTTAAAATCCCATCTTGACATACTTAAATTTTCTTCACAACTAAGAATATTTGTGTGTAATGTTGTACAGTCAAAACTTTTCATCCTCTCACTAAAATAGTTTTTATCACCAGCTGGCCCTTTAAAAAGAGATTTTATTATTTACACTTTCTTGTCAAAAGCCTTTACCAACCAGATTTACTTTTATTTGAGGCATTTGATGTATTGTGTTCTTTTAGAGCACCGCATTTGAAAACTTGTTTTCATTCAGGGAATAATCTGAGGATTCCCATGCCTGCCATGAAAGGTTATGATTACGCACACGTGGAGCTCATTTCCTGCTGTGACCCACATTAAACAAAAAGGGGAAAATTTAACTATAAAACAACAACAAAAATGTCAAACGTGGATAAAATGATCATGCCGCTATTATCCAATACATTTTACTACATAAGACTCTGGGAGGGCTGAAACAAACACTGCATCTTTCACTCTGTATATCTGTAGCAGTGACAGTCAACACATCAGCTATGAGTAAAACATTAATAAGCATCGGTGATGATGTATACTGTATTACGAAGACCAGGGTAACCATTAAATAACTACAAGCTGGGTCCTGCAGTTAATAAGACACTGTAAAAGCATAGAAAGAGCCAGTGGTGGGCATAGTTCCCCTAAAGCACTAATAGGGGAACTAATTTCCTGATTAGTGCTTTAGGGCTTTTGCTATTTTTTAAAATCATTAGTGGATTAGCACTTGCTAAATTTAGAAGCGCTAACTGAGGTATTTAAATGTTATTGATCAACATTATTATTCACAGTTGAGGGTGAAAGCTGTCACACATTTTGTTCATATTTGTGTCACTTATCTACAAGGTCATGTGTGTCAAACTCAAGGCCCGTGGGCCAAATGTGGCCTGCGGGTGACTCCTATTTGGCCCACCAAAGGCACTAAGTGACAACATTCTGCACACAGTAAATGCTGTCTCATGTTGACTCTGAAGAAATTTCCATGTATCATCTGGGTCATTTTAGTGCTTTAGAATGAGCTTTTACTAAATTTTTCAGTGCGTTAGTGCTTTAGAATTAGGGGACCTAAATATTTGAGTTAGTGCTTTAGAATTAGGGGACCTAAATTTTTGAGTTAGTGCTTTAGAATTAGGGGACCTAAATATTTGAGTTAGTGCTTTAGGGTTAGTGCAACTAATATTTAGATTAGTGCTGCCCACCACTAGAAAGTGGCCTCAGCAAACAGTTGCAGCTTAATATGTCACAGAAGTAAATAAGAAATGACAATTTAACAGATTTGCTTTTTAGTGTTGCCTTGTTTGCTTTAGCATATCTTTRGTGAATGGATCTACTTCACTAAACATTAATTAGGTTCTGTTTTTATAAATCAGACCCTTACAGTTTTGTAAATATTAGCACTAAACACTCAATATCATACCTCAAATATTTAACTGTTGTGCAAAATTATTGTGATATCAGGCCAAGTGAAAAAAACATCACAAGCATCCTTCATTATAAAACTGCAATTATTAAAGGGTGTCTCCACTGGAAGGTAATGAGCCACATCTGCCCTTGATACACGCCCTCTAATGATCAACTTTAATAGAAACAAAAATCTACATTGATTAAAGTTGTGGAACTAGCTGACTGAAATGGTGCATCCTTCGTTTACTCATAAATGTGATCATCTTCTTTCTAGTGGCCAATGCCTGAAAGGAACCCTGCATTACAAACACATTTTAAGTCTACATTTTTGTGCTGATACCACTCTTTAAACTAGCCACATAYGCAATGCAACAACAAGTAAAGATGTGATGCTTGAAAATGGAGCAGCTGCAGCCTTGGTATGGCTTAAATGGGAAATGACCAGATTTTAAATGTATGTGGATCAATAAAAAGCAGGCTGCTGAGGTGCAGTCTTTATGTGAGAGAAGAATGGTTTACACCAGCTGCTGCGCAAAAAGCTCTGCAGCTATTAATATGCATTAGCCCCCCCATGACTAAGAATCATTATACATGTGAAGCCAGCCTATCCRTTTTTTTTAACTTTCAGCTAGAAACGTATGACTCAAAAGGTTGAAATACGCTGTCACCAAAGAAGAAAGCATTACGCTTTGTTAACATGGCAGGTAGATTTCAATCTCAGAAGCATCATTAGTTTAAAAAAAACCTGCAACACGTATCTCTAAGCGGAGATAAAATAGAACAGGAAGATGAGTGAAAAAGACTAATCTCTCTGACACATTCCTAATAATGCACATCCCCTGCGCTGCTCCCCCTCAGCTCACCCAATCATGAAGTGTCAACACTGACCTACAAAAAAGCAACTCCCGTCAAGCCTTACATGTTCAAAAACATCAATCACAGCAGACAAAGAGGCTACATCGAATTATACAGCATTAACCTTCAGGGCTTGCATATAAAGAACAAAGATTTATTTATGCGTCTGTGTTAAGAGACTTTGCCTGGTTTCTTRCAGAAAACTGGAAGCCAGATTGATGAACCTGCAGCTCAGCCCCTCAGCAGGAAACCAGCATCTTTGATTAATGAGTGTTAACTTGTGGAAAGGGTTAGAATGGGAGAGGCAGGGGGAAAATGTGTGAAAGACAGTTATTAGCAGACACTTTTGGCTGCAGGAACATAAAAATGGTGGTCATCTCATGTTCTGGGGGATAATATAAAGTGAGGCAGAACTATTTCACTTAAAAAACACAAGGACAGCCTGTTAAACAGCAAACAGCACAGGAAAATCCTAACAATTTTAGAAAAGAAGCAAGCAGATTAATAAACTATATAGATTACAGTTATCACTGTGGGGCATTTTTTTATTTTAATTGGTGGACAGTGTTTTTAATAGTACTGTTTTTACAAATTAATCAACCAGAAGCTGTTTATTGTTAAAAGTGTGAAATGTCACCATTTTTATTGTCATCTTGCTTTGGTTCTAAAAGTGTTAAAGACTCATGAGGAATGTTGGCAGCAATTTTTGTATCTGCTGAGCATTTCAAGGACGAGTGTAGTGAATAAATGCAAGGCATATTTAGTGCCCTTCTACCTGTGTTTTGATTCATTGCCAGTTACTGGCTGCATGCATAACATATCAAGGCTGGGATCTGATTTATCCTGCTTCTCCGGCAACCGAAGCTATTTAAATGATGAACTTTTACTGGAACCAATGTCTGCTGCGAGCTGCCGTTTCTCTGACACTCTGATTGTGCTGAGATCACATGCTAGTTCATTACTTGTATCTGCGAAGACAAAACAGCTCTGCTGTGCAGCAAACAAAAAGGTGTCTGCCAAAACAAACCAAATGACATTTGATATCTCGCACCATCTAAATATGCTCTGCAGATTGTTTATCTATTTTTGTCAAATTGAAATCTGTGAGTTTAGATTCATCAGCGTACAAGAGTCTGACATGTCGCTGAGCAAAAGTGCAAATAACAAGATAACTAACCTACACATAATTTTTTTTCATAAACAGCTGCTGATGCTTTAACTCCTTGTTTTAAATTTATTCAACTTCTAAAAGCTCTTATTTAAATAAATCCCCTCATACACTACTATAGCTAAGAAATATCTAAATTTATATAAAAGTATGTGTGAGCATGCAAATTAAGTCCAACTTATTTTTTTCCCTGCACTCTGATATTTTATTTCCTGGTTGGACTCATCACTGTACAGTTCTTTAATTGTCTGATGCCTTGACTTTTCAGAATTATGTTTTGTATAGTGGTATTAATTTATATTTTCAGATCTTCCAAGGTGCCAATTATGGAACTCTCTGTGCATTTTTGCCCAAATCAAATTCTGGAAGTGGTCATTCAACTAGATCTGTTACAAAAGGACAACTGATATTACCAACTTTTAAAAACTGTTACGGCCAGAGGTCTTTCTTCTATGTTTATACTAAAGCATGGAATGACATTCCTCAAAACATAAAGTCCATTTCAAAACTACAGCCCTTTAAGAAGAATCTTGTCTGCCATCTGCTGGACACTTTTTGTTGTGCTCATATTTAGACGTCCTATTTTGCAAATGCTGCCTTTTTGAAATTTGGTATGCTTGTTTGTCTTTGTGTCTATGGTGTATAATGATGTGATTGTGATGCTGTAATTCTGAGTGTTTTATGTGCTGCAGAACAGGAACCTGCTGTAAAACAGCAATTATGCTGAGTCAGGCTTGATTTTTAATAATCTTTTCCTGTTAAATAMATAAATCAAATCAAATCAATTTTGGRTCAATGAAAAGTCAAGAGGCTATTTGTTGCACTGCACGTCACTAAATTATTGCTTTTATTAGGTGCCACTGCATAATCATGCTGTTCARGTGTTTTATTCTGGTAGTATAACTGTTAACAAGTCATTTTTCAACCACAGCAGTAAAGATGCACACAATAAGTTACCAGCTGCCAATAAAAATAGGATGAAGCAGCAGCAGCAGCTGGGTTTTGGCAACTTTCTCCAACAAATCGTCGTGAAAACAATCAATTGGACTTATTTCGCTGGATATTATGAACCCACCAKAAAGCAATGAGTAAACAAAATAACCCCCATTTCAACACTGACTAATAAGAAGTATTCAAACATCAATATGCAGTATAAAATGCTGTTACACGTCACTTTACAGACAAAGTGCCCATAAAATGACGACATTTGTTTTCTGCATTTGATCCATGAGATACATAAAAGTGGCGTGGGGGCAGCTATTTAAGCCTGGAAAGTAGTTAGGGATTAGGTGTTTTGCTCAAAGACACTGCAACTTATGTTGAGGAATCCTACCTGCAACTCTCCAGTCTCAACACAGCTGGCATACT